TACGTTTTCTTCTTTCATCTAAATCATGAAGATATATAATGGATATCTAGGGTCTTAGCACGGATCCTGTTGTATCCCACTAGTCACTGCCTGCCATTTGGAAAATGACCCATTTATTCCTACTCTTTGTTTCCTGTCTGACAGCCAGTCTTCTGGCCATCTCAATACCTATTTGTAATCCCATGTGCTTTAACGTTTCACGCTAATCTCTTGTGGGACTTTGTCAGAAACCTTCAGAAAGTCAAAAAATGCACATCCACTGGCTCCCTTCCTTAAATTTTACAAGTTACATCCTTGACCATTTCAAGTAGATTTGTCAAGCATGATTTCCCTTTCATAAATGCATGGGACTCTGTCTGATCCTTCTACTGCTTTCCAAGTGTTCAACAATTAAATTTTTTTATAATGGACTCTCACATTTTCTCCACTAGTGATGTCAGGCTGACTGGTCTATAATTTCCTATTTTATCCATGCCTCCCTTTTTAAATAGAGTGGTTACATTAGCCACCACCCAAACTGGAGGAACTGTTCAGAGTCTATAGAACCTTGGAAGATGATCACCAATGCCTCCAAATATTTCTACAGCCACTTCCTTAATTACTATGGGATGTGGATTGTCAGTGCCTGTAGATTTATCAGCCTTCACTCCCATGAACTTCCCCAACATACCTATAGAAGCTTTTAGTGACAGGTTGATTAGTATATTTTCACAAAATTTGCAACTATTTTGTTTCTATGGGCCTTCCTTTGAATCTCTTCATAGATCTATGCAAATTGAAGCTTAAACATTGCAAGAACAAAAGCAATCATCCGTCATAATTGCAACAAAATTCTTGTTATATTATGCTGAAAGCAAATTTTAAAATCTGGACTTGGAACAGCATAAATATAATAGGCAATCATAAAAATGGAAACAATGGGTAGTATAGCCATGTTCTACAAGACATAGAAGAAAATTAGTCATGTGATCACAGAAGTGATGCCATCCCTCCAACACCAGCTCTTTGGCCCCATATTTATCAGTATTATTTTCCTATTCCTAGCCTCACTGGTATGTGGCACAGAAAGGAATCCCGAGGTCCCAACCCTAGAGGTCCTGGTTTTCAACTTAACTTTTTACCCAATTCCTGAACTCCCATTGCAGGGCCTCATCCCTCTTTCTGCCTATGCCATTAGTACCAATATGGACCATAACCTCTGGCTGCTCACCCTGCCGCTTCAGAATATCATTTGCCCACTCAAAGACGTCCTTGAGCCTTGAGCAGAAAATGCTTTGCAACTGCAGGGGATGTCAAATTCCAAGTTTCTTTTTTCTTCATACGCAAAGACTGAACTGTTTTAACAACCGTGCATGTACATAAAGAGAATTTTTTACGAATAAAGCACATTTTTCCAGTTTAAAAAATGTTAATGACTTGGAGTCCGAGCTTAGAACACTGGGACACATCAGGGAGGGGGACAGTTACCCAGACACTGTGCTTCAGGAGGCAATCAAACCCCTTTGACTAACTACCTCAAATTCAGTGAGCGGTCAGGGACAGCACTGTGTGATAATGAGCAAGGCAGACAGAAGGATCCAGGAGGGGATGGTGAAGGAACCTCAACTCTTGAGATTGTCTAAGGGGTTTGAGATCACGCACCTAAGCCCTCACACCCCCACCCCACAATAAAAACAAAGACGTGAGGACAAGGGGAATTCTGTATCACCCCATTAATCTCCAGATTCAATGCATCATTCTCCGCCACTTCCGTCACCTGCAATCTGACCCCACTACAAAGGATATATTTCCCTCCCCACCCTTATCCGCCTTCTGGAGGGACCGCTCTTTCCGCGACTCTCGTCCGCTCCACGCTCCCCACTAGTCCCACCACCCCCGGCACCTTTCCCTGCAACCGCAGGAGGTGCTACACCTCCCCCCTCGCCTCCATCCCAGGCCCAAAGAAAACCTTCCACATTAAACGGATGTTCACCTGTACATCCGCCAATATGGTCTATTGTATCCGCTGTTCCCGATGTGACCTCTTCTACATCGGGGAGGCCAAGCGGCGGCTCGGAGACTGCTTTGTGGAGCACCTACGCTTGGTTTGCAACAAACGACAACACCTCCCAGTCGCGAACCACTTCAGCTCCCCCTCCCACTCCCTGGACGATGCCACCCGAAAACTGGAGGAACAGCACCTCATATTCCGCCATGGAACCCTACAACCCAATGGTCTCAATGTGGACTTTACGAGCTTCAAAATCTCCCCATTAACAACCTCATCCCAAAACTAGCACCCTCCCACATCCCCGCCATCTTGACCTGTCCGCTCCTCCCACCTCACTGACCAACCCCCACCCCCACTTCCTACCTAACTCACCTTTACTAGTTTCATCGCCGCCTTCTTGACCTGTCAGTCATCTCTCCACCTATCTGCTCCACTATCCACCTTCTATCACTGCCCCCGCCCCCCTATTTATTTCAGAGCCCCCTTCCGCTCCCCCATTTCTGAAGAAGGGTCCAGACCCGAAACGTCAGCTTTCCTGCTCTTCTGATGCTGCCTGACCTGCTGTGTTCCTCCAACTCCACACCTCGTTATCTCAGACTCCAGCATCGGCAGTTCCAACTATCTCTGGATAGAGTGGATGTGGGGAAGATGCTTCCACTAGTAGGAGAGACTAGGACCAAAGGGCACAACCTCAGAGTGAAGGGATGACCTTTTAGAACAGAGTTGAAGAGTAATTTCTTCAGCTGGAGTGTGGTGAATCTGTGGAACTCATGGCTGCAGAAGGCCGAGGAGGTCAAGTCATTGAGTGTATTTAAGACAGAGATAGATAGGTTCTTGATTAGTAAGGTGATCAAGTGTTACTGGGAGAATGGGGTTAAGAAATGGTACAGCAGACTTCATGGGCTACATGAACTAATTCTGCTTATGTATCTTATGGACTTATAAAGGAAGGACAGAAAAAACACAATTACAGACCAGTTAGCCTAACATCAGTAGTGGGTAAAATGCTTGTGTCTATTATAAAAGACATGATAACAGAACACTTGGAAACATTAATGGGATTAGACAAAGTCAGCATGGGTTCATGAAGGGGAAATGATGCTTAATTAAGCTACTGGAGTTTTTGAGGACATAACTAGTGGAATAGATCAGCGGGAATTTGAAAATAGCTTTTGTTAAGGTCCCACTTAAGAGGCTATTGGGCAAGTTTAAAGCACATGGAACCTTGGGGGAAGATACTGGCATGGATTGAGAAATGGATGACAGACCAGAAACAGCGTGGGAATAAGTGGGTCTTTTTTCAGCTGGCAGGCATGACTACTGGTGTACCACAGGGATCAGTGCTTGGGCCTCAAGTATTATATACATAAATGACCTGGATGAGGGAACCAAATGCAATATTTCCAAGTTGCTAATGACACAAAACTAAGTAGAATTGAGAGCGGAGGAGGATGCAAGGCTCTTTCATGGTAATCTAGATAACTGAATTGTGTGGGCAAACATATTCCAGATGCAAAAATGGATAAATATGAAGTCATACATTCAGGGTGAAAAATGGAAAAGTAGAGTATTATTTAGTGGGTGATTTTTGGGAAACGTGGATGTATAAAGTGTCCTTGTACACAAGTCAAAGAAAGTAAACAGGCAGGTTCAGCAAACAACTAGGAAGCTAAAGAGCATGTTGGCCTTCATTGCAAGATGATGATAGTTCAGAATTAGGGATATCTTACTGCAGTTTTATACAAGGCCTTGATGAGATCATACCTGAAGTCATGTGTATTTGGTCTCCCCACCGAAGACACCTACTTGCCATACAGTGAATGATTGGGTCAACTCAAGAAACTCACAAGTTCAAGTTAAGGAATGATTGGACAGCTTGGCTATGTGGGATGCCCATCCTGTGGCACGTGGAGAGTTCTACATTAGTAATAACAACATAAGTAAATAGAAAGGGCAATGTGGTCCTGCAATCGGAGTTTAGGGAGCTAGACAGCCAATTAGCAAGCAAAATCTCTAAAGTGCAAGTACATGAAGAAATTTGTGGAGACAGATGATTGTGTGGTTGGAAAGGTGATGCTGGAGGGAAGGCTTTAGATTCCTGGAACACTGGGGCTTGCTCCGTTTCAGAGGGCACCTGTATCAAACAGGTTGAACAGTGCTGAGATTGAATTTTTTGCTGGATATTTTACAAGTGCTGTTAGGGAGGGTTTAAACTGACTCAGCAAGGGTGTGGGAACCAGGAGAGAACATTACCAAAGTAATACGCAGGTGCACAAAACATTGGGAAAGGGTGTTAGCACTCGAAGAGACAGACAAAGTCAGAGTAAGAGAGAAAGTAATGAAGTTATCTGATCTGTTAGTTTTCAGCCAAAGGCTGTTTTTCATTTAGTTTATTGAGGATTTGAACTCAAATGGACTTGGTGTTCACAGCACTTTCATCTTGGACACCATGTTCATGTTCTTAGAGCAAACTAATTTTGCAAATGCAGTCAAACCACATCATTGCTTCTCAAGAAATTAAGGAATAATATCATATGTAAAGAAATAAGTATTGTAGCATAATGTTTAACTTGCCACTAAAGCATCTCTATGTACTTGACACTGAACTTTGACGTACATTGGTTCATTACATAGGTACAGGGTGGAGTAAAAGAGAAAAGCTTTGCAACATGATTCGACACAAAGTTTAAAGTAACAAACAAACAAACAGAAAATTCTGGAAATGTTCAAGGTATCATCTGTGGAGAAAAACCACAAGTTAATGTTTTGGGTAAACCCTTTTTCCAAGAGGTGTTTGGAAATGTTTTGAAAAGGGGTTTATCTATACCCAAAACATTGTTTTTTCAGATGTTGACAGACCGATTCAGTGTTTTCAGCACTGGGACAATTTTTTTGAGGTTTAATACAATGCAGCATTTTGCTCCTTTACCAGGGTAATGCTACAGTCTGCTGATGGGAAGTAAACACAAATTTATAATATGCATTTTTGCAGTCTTGCTGTAGAACTGACCTGATGTTATTGACACAATCTTCATGAGCTTCAGACAGAGTTTTGATGTGTTTTGAAGAAACTGGGTCAAACAAAAGAACTTCAGTCTGCTCACATGCTACTGTTAACACAGATCTACATAGGGAATAGAACAAAGACTTAGCAGTAAATCAACTAAGCTTTTATTTTCAAACTGTAAATGATATTTGACTGTACTATTTAACTTCTTTAAAATTGTTAAAAAAAATTAGGTCCAAAAAGTTTATTTATCTTTTTACTACTAGGTAAGGCAAGAGCAACTGCCCTCAATATCAAGGTGGCATTTGACCGAGTGTTGCAACAAGGAACCTTAACAGAACTGCTATCCAGCAGACTTAAAATTGCAGCTTATCACCATTTATTCCACTCACATGAATGGCTGGAATATCTCAGAATTGTTACAATCCAGAAGAAGCCATTTTAGCCCATCATATCAATGCTGGCTTCCTGAAGGAGCAATTTACTGAACATCACCTCACTTGCTTTTTCTGCCATAGCCCTGCACGTTCTTCTTTCTCAGATAATGATCTAATTTTCTCAAATATCTCACATGAATCGGCCTCCATTCAGTTTGTGCAATCCTGAGCAACCAGAGCGTGGAAAGAGATGTCCTCAAGTGACTTCTGTTTCTTTTGCAAATTACCTCAAATCTGTGCACTCTGGTTCTCAATCCTTTCACCAATGAGAATAGTTCCTCCTCATCGATTTTGTCAACACCCCTTACGATTTTAAATACTTCTATCAAATCTCACCTCGACATTTTCGTCTCCAAGGAAAACAGTCCAAATTTCTCAACTTATCTACACAGCTGAAGTCTATCATCATTGAAACCATTTTCATTAATCTTCTGTGCCGTCTCTCGTGTCTTCACATCCTTCCTAAAGTGACGAATCCAGAACTGATGCCACACTCCAGTTGAGTCTAAATCAGCATTTTAGAAGCCTATAAAATTCTAACACAACCAGAGAGGATAAACTCGGGAGGCGTGTTCCCAATGAGTGGAAAATCCAGAACTGGAGGGGGTCGCAATCTAAGGATGCGCATTAGGCCATTTAGAACCGAGATGAGGAAAACTTTCTTCAGCCAAGAATGTTGAGCTAGTGGAAATCTCCACGATGGAAACTGAGGCCAAAACATTGAATGCTTTTAAGGAGGAGTTAAATTTAGTTCTTAGGACTAAAGGGATGAAAGGGGAAAAAGCAGGAACTGGATGATCAAGAATTGGACGATCAGTCATGATTATACTAAATGGCCTGCTCTTATTCCTATTTTCTGTGTTTCTATGTTTATACAGGTTTAACACAACTTACTTACTTGGATACTGTATGCCTCTATGAACGATGTTATAACTACTCTCTCAACCTGTCCTGCGACTTGTAATTTTTATGTATATAAAATTCCAGGTCCCTCCACTCCTGTACTGCCTATGGAATTGTGCCATTTATTTTATATTCTCTCCATATTCTTCTTAACAAAATGAATCACTTCACATTTCACTGTACTGAGTTTCATCTCTCACTTGCCCGAACATTCCACCAATCTGTCTACGTCCTTTCACAGTTTATATTGCTTCCAAGTTTTAGGTCATTAACAAATTTTGAAATTGTGCTCTGTCCACCAAGGTTCAGGTAACTAATATTGCGATAAAGGTTCATGATGTATCTAATATTTGGAAGCTTTGATCCTAAAGTACACAGCAACATGTATAGCTTTACATTTGCTTTTATTTCTGTGGTTGTATTTTAAGGGTGTAGTTCTGTTCTAGGAAATGGCACAGGGTCTGAAGTCTTTTGATAGATGCATTTTAAATATGGGTTTATTGCCTTGGAGTAGAAATTCAGGTGAACATCAGTGCATGAGGGGAAAAAAAGTCTGAAGTAAACTACTTATTGCTGAGTGACAGGAGTTCTGTCTCTAAGAAGTCAGGGCTGTAGAAAAACATACAGCAACAGAAAACTTAGAAAAGCAGGAAATATGCAAACATTCCTCATCTGCTTCCTCTGAAAATGTTTAGATATCACTAAGAAGAAAGTTCCAGAGATGCCCAGTGAACTGGAATGTTGCATTACAGCATAACTGACGTTTTATCAAAACAGTGACTTAGGTGAAACAGGAGGTGGTGATCAGTTGCTCGTTTTCTCTCATTGGTGAGTACTTCTGTTCTTTAACACAAAAGTATAGTCTTAGGCAATTTACGACATAAGGGGAAAGAACTCTTACAGTACAGAGCACTGGCGGTCAGAGAGAGCACAAATCTGGCAAGAAGCAGCTGAATAGAGCAGTAGGAAAACTTTCAACAGAGCAGCCCAATACGACCTTCACTCAAAGGAAAGGAAGACTTCTCCAGGTGACTTCAGGATTCAAAAATAACTCCGGGCAAATGGAAACTACTGATGGAGTGAATACAGGTAGCAACTGTTTGTATTACCACTATTGCTTATTGTTTGTCAACTTTTGTGGTTTATAGTTTGTAAAGGCTGTATTCTGTCTTAACAAGGTCAAAAGAAGAAGGACCCTAAAGTAATTGATATTATCTGACTTTAAGAAACTTTTAAAGCTTTAATCCAAAGGAGTAAGTTATGGCAGGACAGCTCAAAGCCAGGTTGGCTCCTCCTACTCTATGTGGGAAGCCAGACACATTTCCAGTGGTGAGGCATGTGAGCAGAAGCAGATCTCCAGCCACAGTTCCTGGAAGTCCTGATTTTGGAGCTGGAGCTGGGGTGATGGCTGGGGACATTGTGGGACAAGCGTGAAGCTGAGAGTATCATGGACAGCATATACAGAGAGAGGGTCACAGATTCTACAGGCAGAAAGAGAATGAGTAACCACAAGGCAGAGTAAGACAATTAAGGAGGCAATGCAGGAATGCCTGTCGCTATTCCCCTGCAAAACAAACATATCGCTTTGAATATTGTTGGGGGGAAATGGCCTCTCGGGAGAAGCTAGTAACAGCCAAATTTATTGCATCATTATTGGCTCTGGTGCCTGGGAGAGGAGGAGAAATTGTGGAATGCAACTGTTACAGGGGATTCAATTATGAGGGGAATAGGTAGGCATTTTGGTGGCCGCAAACAAGACTCCACGATGATAGATTGCCTCCCTGGTGTAGGGTCAAGGATGTCTCAAAGCGGCTACAGGGCATTCTGGAGTGAGAGGGTGAACAGCCAGTCGTATTGGTATACATTAGTACCAATGACATAGGTTTAACAAATGGATGATGTCCTAAAAGCAGCATATAAGGAGTTACAGAGCAAATTTAAAAGTTGGACCTCACAGGTAGAGATCTCAGGATTATTACCAGTGCACATGACAGTCAGAGTAGAAATAGCAGGATACATCAGATGAGTATGTGGCTGGAAAGATGGTGCAAAGGGGAGGATTTCTGATTCCTAGGACATTGGGGACCAGTCCTGGGGAAGTTGGTACTAGTACAAACTGGTCAGGTAACACCCAGGCAGGACCGGGACTGAGGAAGGGTCACCTGACCCGAAACGTTAACTCTGTTTTCTCCTCCACAGATGCTGCCAGACCTGCTGAGCTTTTCCAGCAACTTTGTTTTTGTTGTTGTGTAGGACCGGGACTGATTTCCTAGGACAAGTATTTGTTCATGTGGTCAGATAGTTTTAAACTAGGATGGAGAAGGGTTGGGAACCTAAGCAGGATAACGAGAGAAAGAGAAACAAGGATGAAAATAAAAGAACAGTAAAATGTAAAAATAGTTAGCAGTGTCATCAAGGGTGAGCTGCAAATAGGGCCACTGAATGAATAAAAGTTAGGATAATTAAAAATGGCAAAGAGACAAGCCTAAAAGCTTTGAATCTCAATGCACAAAGCATTCAGAATAAGGCAGACAAACTGACAGCACAAATCGAGGCTCTTTGGATATAATCTCATAGCCATTACAGAGACAGTTACAAAGAAATCAACTAAAAACTTAACATTCAGGGATATTTGAACTTTCAGAAAGGTGGGAGGGAAGGATAAGGTGGTGGGGTTGCAATGCAGTGAAATGAGGACGATTGTGAGAGATGATCTAGGTTCAGATGACGTAGTGTCCATTTGGATGGAGATAAATAACAGCAAAGGAAAGAAGGCATTGGTAGTAGTCAAGTATAGACCCCCAAACAGTAGCCATACTCTAAGAAAGGAGAGAAATCAACAAACATTAGGGCCATGTAAAAAGAATAGAGCAATGATTATGGTCAACTTTAATCTTCATGTTGATTTGGTCAATCAAATTGGAAAAAGTAACTATAATAACAATCTCAGAGAGTGTATTAGGGATCATTTCCTAAAGCAATGTGTCGTAGATCCAACTAGGGAACAGGTTATCCTAGATCAGGTAATCAGACAGGATTAATAAATGACCTTTGAGTAAAAGATTCCCAAGGAAGTAATAATCATAACATGATAGAATTTAATATTCAGTTTGAGTGAGAGAAATTTGGGTCGGAAACCATTGCATTTAACTTAAATGAAGGGAATTACAACAAAACGAGAACAGAATTAGCTGAAGTGGACTAGGCAGATAGATTCAAAGGAAAGACATAAGCTAACAATGGTAGGCATTTAAGGACATAATTCATGACTCTCAGCAAAAATATATCCCTGTAAAGAGGAAAGATTCTAAGGTATTATTAAGCTGGAATGGGCTCAGAAGACATTTACTAGGATGTTGCTGGGAATGAAGGGTTTGAATTACAAGGAGAGGCTGGATAGGCTGGGACTTTTTTCACTGGAGTTTAGGAGGTTGAGAGGTGACCTTATATAGGTTTATAAAATAATGGAGTATAGATGAGATGAATGGTTGGTGTCTTTTCCCTAGGGTGGGGGATTTCAAGACCAGCAGGCAAATTTTTAAGGTGAGAGGAGAAAAGCAATTTTTTTTTTTATATACAGAGAGTGGTTCGTGTGAGGAATGACCTTCCAGAGGAAGTGATGGACGTGGGTACAATTATAACATTTAAAAGAAATTTGGATAGATACACAAATGGGAAAGGTTTGGAGGGATATGGGCCAGAAGCAGGCAGGTGGGACTAATTTAGTTTGGGATTATGTTCGGCTTGGGCTGGTTGGACTGAAGGGTCTGTTTCCAT